GAAGAATAAAATTGAGAAAGATCGAATAAAAATATTTAAATAAAAAGTAAATGTATAGTCTCATTACATCAATGCTCAATAAGCAGAACTATATAAAGAAGCTGGTGCGGTACAACAAACAGAACTAGCCAACGTAAGAAGAACAATAAAAAGAATGCTTTGCGGGCACAATTCGGATAAATGGAGTTAATGTGAAATTCGGCCATGCGGTAGACGCATTGCTTCTGCGGAGCAAGTGTAGTCCTGCAGTTACAGGCGTAATGAAACGGTCATCGGAAGACTTTGATGTTGGAGTACTTTGCATTTCGTTTGAAGAGGTAAGTGGAAGGGTCTCAACAGCAGCTGTAGGGGGATTGCCTTGGAACTGTGATTGTAAATTTGTGCAAAGAAGTCCTCGGCACACCGCTATGCGAACCCGATGATTCCTTGCTGAGCTTTCGTCTGTCAGGTGACGGAAATCGTCAGAGCGGGACACCATGTTTAACGATAATTCAACAAAACATTAAGGCAAGAAAGGTGGTCGGCTTTAAACCCACTTACTCCTTAAAGTCAAATTTGGTCCACCCTCTCTCCAAATCGAGCTGTTACAAAATTTTGTGTTCATGCGGCAGCGACTACTGGTAGTTTCGAAACTCTGCTTATATACGAAAAATATGATAAACCTGATATATAAGAGGTTATCTGAACACAAAACAACCTATAAGGGTCTGTAGGTCCAAAAATCTGAATTGGCCGAACACATGGCTCGCATAGGACACCAGATAGATTGGTCTAATACCAAACGTTTAGCTGGACGTGAGGACTATGCCAGTAAGCAAAAGATTAGGAAGGCGATAGAAATCAACAAAACAGCCAAACCCTGAGTGTAGGAAGTTAAATGGAAACGAATTGTAGCTGTTGGATACGATTAGAGAGGGGGGAACGAGAAATGCTACCGAGCGAAAAAAGGAGCTTGATTAGGCTTGAATCTGGTTTTGACTCTCACATCACATTCATTTCAATACCAATGAATTCATACAACACGCGTGCAATAAAACGTAATCGCATGCGATAACATTGAAAGATCAAAGGTATATCCGGTTTAGGAGAGAATGCAGCTGCTTGCTCACAATTTCACCCGCCTCTTCACACGTCATACGAAGACACTTAACTTAATTTTTTAGCGAACATTTCGGCAAAGCACAGGACATTCAAACAAAACATGAGATGCTTAAGTAAGTTGAGCAAATTGGATTATAAGGAGTATATAGGCTTGAAGCCGGCCACCTTTCTTGCCTTAGTGTCTTTGGTGACTAATCACTAAGCGTAGTGTTCTGATCTGACTATGCCCGTCACATGACGGACGAAAGCTCAGCGAGGATTCATCGGGTTCGCAAGGTGGTGCGCCAAGACCTATTCGGAAAATTTCTACAATCACAGCTCCGAGTCAATCTCCTGACAGCTTCTGGTGGAACCAACGTACAAATCCCTTCCACTCGCCTCTTCAAACGAAAGTAAAAGTACTCCAACATCGGTATAAGAGCAAGCCTAGCTAACAATGACTTACGAATGTGGCTTGGGATTGTAACGTACGAGTAAGAGGATTGACTACCTCAATAGAGGTAGGGTCCGAGAGAAGTAATGAAATCCAGAGTTCCTCCTACTTAAAACGCTTGCATGATTTGGATTTCAGCTCCTGATTGTTTCAAGTATTCCCGATCAGGTGCGGTGGAGAGACTTGATGAGTTAACACGAGACAAGTGTGCGAATGAATCATACGCATAAATTGTCTTTATTTTAAAAGTCGTAGTAGGTAAGAGTAGGGATAGGCCATAACGACCTTAAGTCCACCTTAAGTCTAATGACATTAGCCAGCTTTACACAATATAGATTTTTTCTCTTCCCTATTTCTTCCCGTATATTATTATTATACCATTAGGTTACCACTCTCCGCGAGCCTTGATATTTAAACGGATTACACCAAAACTTATATTCCACGTCCTCTCCGGAAACCAGTATTCTTAAAATAAATGACTAAAACGAAAAATCATACTAGAAACGAATCACCGAGCACACTAATATCTGACTTAAAAATAGAGCAAAGTCTAATAAACGTGAATGTGGGGTTCCGTAGTGTTCTGATAAATTTATTGCATATAATAATCAATATTTACGATTTCACCATACCTGCAATCATTCATTAAAAGCAGAACTCAACTGATTACAGGACTCTAATTGTTTTGATAAAACTTATTTAATCATTTGCCCCATAACTTAGAATTTTCGAAACAAGTGCTGCGATTTGCATGAGCATATTGGCCGAGTATTTCAACGATAAGAAAATGATACTTATTTTTTTTAAATCTTGATACTCACCGTTCCCTTTTCCCTGCAAGTACACTAATCTTCAAAGTAATAAAATAATTGTGATTATGTGAATTGTCTTGCTTTGTTGACTTGACGTTAATTTGAAAAAAGCGAATTCTTTCACATTTTCATAAGGAGTAGATTGTAAGGCAAATGTGTGCGGAAAAGGATCATTTACCGGAGTAATTAGGCAAATTACATTCTTTTAATTATCGTTAAAAATTGTGAAGCACGATCTTAAATAAAATTTGGAATTCATTGAGGACAACCTATATGTAGTAGTCTGAGCCCCAATTTTTCATAAAATCAAAAGCTACCTGGCTGAGACCGTAGTGGTGAACGAAACGCAATCTTTCACACAAGATAAAGGTGTGGCTCCAGTGATGTCTTCCCATTGCGCAGGGGCTGTACCGCCAGTTATACTGCATAGCAAAACAAGACGCCATGCTCCACCTGGAGCATTAGAACTCTGAATATTTTGTCCACCAGTAGTCACGACATTCAAGCGATGAGATCCACTTGTCATTCTAGGCAAGGGAATTGTTAAAGTGATTGGCTTGTGAAATTTGCGTCGCCGGGGCTCTAGAGTAACGATAGGAGACACAGCAGCCCTGTTACCAAACATCCGGTAGATAAGATCAGACGATATTGGATGAGCCTAAAAAAAGGAACATTCGGAGATTATGGAAGTAATTAAGTTGGGTATATCCTCCATTATATGGCTTCTTAACCTATCGATAAATAGTGTATTAATAACCTTTGACGGTAAGTTATATGAACAAAGGGAAGAACAAGCATAGGGTTCCTGCCTAACTACAAGTTGGTGAATAACTACATAACAAAGCTCGAGGAGCGCTTAACCCAAAAGACTCATGAATTGCTTGCTAGATATATGGATAATTATTTTGTCATCTTGCAGCATGGTAAGGACAGCTTCCTATTTTCACATAACCAGTGTGAAGGAAGT